GTCTGACTTTATACCAACAGATCCCATGTTGAACCAGTGAGTCTGACTTTATACCAACAGATCCCATTTTGAACCAGCGTGTCTGACTTTATACCAACAGATCCCATGTTGAACCAGTGAGTCGATGGATGCATGACCCAGTTTTACACCAGTGGGTCTGCCTTGAACACATCTGGGTTCAGTTTTCCATCCATACTTGGTTTCTGTGCAGGATCACAGGGAAAGTGGTGTCACTCTCCAGAGATCATTCGGTGAGAGGCGGTGGACTCCTGGACAAGTCCCAGTCCATCACAGGGACACCTGGACAAGTCCCAGTCCATCACAGGGACACCTGGACAAGTCCCAGTCCATCACAGGGACACCTGGACAAGTCCCAGTCCATCACAGGGACACAGAGAAAAACAACCATTCACTCTCTCACTCCTCAGGATGTGAAGTTACCAATGACCCTAACAGACGTGTTTTTGGTCTTTGGAAGGAGGAACCGGTGTACCCAGAGAAAACCCATGGGTGCACGGGGTGAACATGTAAACTCCACACAGAAAAGTCGCTGCAGGGAATCAAACCTGCAGCCTTCTGGCTGTGAGGGGCAACGCTGTCCTACTGTGCAGCCTCATACGGACGTATTTACTTGAAATGTGGAGCGTACATTCACGTGTTCGTGATTTGACTCAGGTGGTGTGTGAGCGCCGGTTGTTTGGGTTTTCATGTGTTCCTGTGGGTTTGGGGGCTTTTAAAGCGACTTAACTACATGTTGTTAAATTGGCTTCTCTCTGCATGTTGGGGCTGTAAATGAGCTTCAGGTTTTGGTTTGAGGGCAAACTTTCTTCCTTTGAACTTGAAGCAGACTCATTTTCACCCACAGGAGAGTCTGATGTCATCAAACTGTGGGCTGAAGGGCCTGACGTGGTTCTGGTGCTCAGGATTCCTTCGTGGGTTCTGTCCATGTTTCATATTCTGCAGGTTTCATCTCACCGGGCTTTCCTGCTCATGAGAACAAACTAATGAAGAGTTAAGAAGCTGCTGCAGGAGGGAGCATGGAGGAGCGACAGAGCAGAGCGCCGGGTGCATGAAGGTGACGCTGAACGTAGGAGCAGATCTGTGCTCTGAGTCCTGCCCTGCCTGGAGCCAGCACAGGAGAATGAATGCAGCAGTGTGAGGCTTACGTAAGAGCAGCCAGTGCTGGTGGTCCACAGCTTCAAGTGTGAAGATGTTTGATCCTCAAGCAGGACCAATGTTTCCAGGCGGAGTCGCTCTTAACGTGATTACAGCAGATTAGATGAGATTAGATCAGAATCCTGGGATTAAAGGAAGAGACGCTGCTGCAACATCAGAAGAACGAGTCAGACTCAGGAGGAGGAACGTGAGCTCCTGTGAAGATCATAGAACCGTGTTCCTCAACAGAACTGAGGAGAACCTGCGTCGTTCCCTCAACACATGAAGCACGTTGTAACAGAACCTTCAACATCTGCTGCCGAGAACAAACGACCTTCACCGGAACCTAAAACATACAAAAGAATTATTTTAACCAGATGTTTTAAAACAAAACAACAACAAGTTGTTTTTGTTTATTCTTTAAAGAAGAAAAAATAATCAAACTGACAGCTGTTCAAACCTGAACTCTGATGACTGTAAAGATCCAAGACCTGCAGCAGAACCTGCAGCAGAACCTGCAGCAGAACCTGCAGCAGAACCTGCAGCAGAACCGGAGGTGCTCTGCTTCCATGCTGCCAGAACTCATCACCTTCACTCGCATCTGATCCTGATCTCTGGAGGCCAAACCTGGACCTGAGTCTGAAGGTCAGATCATCTTTACACGCTTCGTCATTTACGGGTCACTGAGGTCCATGTCCAGCAGTCACTGTACCTGGTCAGGTCTCGGTCCATCACAGGGACACCTGGACAGGTCTCAGTCCATCACAGGGACACCTAGGGACAATTTAGAGTTACCAGTCAGTCTAACATGTTTTGGTGTGTGGGAGGAAACCCACGCAGCACGGACAGAACATGTGAACTCCACCCGCCCGGCTGGGATTTGATCCAGCAACCTTCTTGCTGAGAGGCTACCACCAGTTCTAACTTATCAGAACCGGGCCTGATCAGGTCGATCCAGTATGTGATGTGGACTCCTGGGTGCAGAGTCCAGTCTGAACCTCTAACAGTACACACTGCACGTTCCCGCTCAGGATTTGATCTAGTTTTGGGACCCAAATGGGTTTCATGCGGGTCAGACTTGTGTCTGAGGTAAAGAACCGGACCAGCTGAGAACTGCAGACCTTCAACATGAACAGAACCAGAACCCGGACCTTCTGATGGAATCCACTTCTTCAGTTTGGATCAGGAACTTCAGGAGCGTCTGTGCAGCTGCAGCGCCGCCACTCCTCCTCCTCCTCCTCCTCCTCCTCCTCCTCCTCCTCCTCCTCCCCCACCCACCCCTGGTTGTGACCTGCAGCAGTTCTCAGCAGCTTCAGATGGACCTGCAGCAGCTCAGAGCGCCGGACGCCTGCAGCTCACTTCGCTCCTCTTCATCACTCCCAGGACCTCTCAGACCCGACCTGTGGATCCTGGTTCTGGTTCTGGTTCTGACTGGATCTGCAGACTTTTCTCTGGTTCTCTGAGTGGATCCTTGGATTGTTCTGACTGGATTTGTGGATTCTTTTCTGGTTTTCTGACTGGACCTGTGGATCATCTGGTTCTGGCTGGACCTGTGGATCGTCTGGTTCTGGCTGGACCTGTGGATCGTCTGGTTCTGGCTGGACCTGTGGACTGTTCTCTGGTTCTCTGACGGTGGATTGTTTCTCCTGACGTCTCTCGTTCTTGCAGAGGAATTTCTCTGTTCGGTTCTGAACAAGCGGCTCAGTGGAACCGTAAGTTGGACCTCTGAAGGTTCTGTTGGTTCTGTTGAAATCTGATCATTTAAAGTTTGAACTGTTTGGTGTCATTTTAGTCAAACTAATGAAAATATATAAAAGTTTAATGAAATTTATTTATTTATTATCATGGACGTACAGAATTCAGTCAAATGCAAGGAACCGGTTCTCTGTGGTTTGAAGCCACAACAGGCGGTTCTGGTTCTGCTGAACGACCAGCAGAGAACCAGGAGAACGTTCAGAGCTGACGTAGAACGTCTTGACGTTCTGTAAATGAGATTTTAATCCGGTTCTGCCTCTTTCTGACAGCCAGGTTCTGCTGAGCAGGTTCCTCATGATGTTCTCTGTTCTCCTCCAGGAGCCATGTTGTTCTCCAGCAGGGTTCTGCAGCCGTGGTTCTTCTCTGTGTTCCTGCTCTGTTCTCCGGTTCCTCACGACGGTCGTCCGGTTGATGCCCTGAGCAGCAGAACGTAAGTCTGACCTCTCCCCCCTCTGGGGGTTCTGAACATGTTCTCCCTCCTTTGTTTGCCTGGTGTGTGAGTTGGACCAGAACCAGAACTGATCAGAACAAACCTAACGAGGGATGAAGACGTTCGTCAATAGAACAGAATTGAGACCTGACCTCTGACCTCTGACCCGACCTGTCCACACAGTCCGTTCATAAAAGCTGTCCAGAAAAGTTCTGCAGCTTCACAAACCAGAACCTTTATGGGTCACAAATGGTCCAGATGTTACGAGTACAGAATAAACAACGTTCTGTGGAAACATTTGGTCCTTTTCGTCGGTTCTGATCCGTTTGTGTTCGTCTAAAGACGCTGACTGAATCATCACCTCACAGTGGCTGACCACAACAAAAGGCCGGTTGATGATGTCACAACGCGGCGCCTCGCATGTCGCAGGTCTTCAGGTCTTCATGTCTTCAGGTCTTCATGTCTTCAGGTCTTCATGTCTTCAGGTCTTCATGTCTTCAGGTCTTCAGGTCTTCATGTCTTCATGTCTTCATGTCTTCAGGTCTTCAGGTCTTCAGGAATCATGTCTGAGAGAACGGGAGCGTAGACATCGTCTCCGATGTTCGACTGGAAAACAAAATGTTTCTGTTCGGGAGAGGAAAACTAAGAAAGGTTCTCCAAGTTCTCTGGGGTTCCATGAGACTGCGGGCCTGACAGATCAATGTTTTAATGGATCAGAACCAGAGTTCAGACCATCTGAACCAGAACAGAACCTGCAGCTGCTGCATTTACAGACTCAGACTGGACAGAACCTTGATTCTTTTCTTTCTGACCCGTTCTGTTGCAGATTAGCTGCTGTGTTCTGGATCACTGCCCCTCTGAAGAATTATTGGTGGTTTACTCTTTTGGAGACGTGTAATCTCATTACAGCAGAGACCTGTGACAACAGAACAACCATAAAACCTCATGGTTAGAAGGGAGCAGAGTACAACAGAACCCGAAGAAACTATTTTCTTCATTTTCTTTAAACTTTGTTAAAAATGTCCCAGAGGGATCAAACTGGACCGTTTCAGGACTGAGGAGACTGAGACAAATGAAATCCTGGGACTGTCGGCTGTGACTGGACTGGACTGGACAGCTGTGCCGTTTTAACACCTGTTAGATGGTTTGTGGCACTTTTTTATTTACTTGCAAACAGCATGGTCTTTGTTTTGTCAGCATTAAGAATGAGTTTGAGTAGATTTGATATAATGGAATTAAATGCAGACTGCAGGCACTCAAGATCCACTGATACAGACTGAGCACGACAACGGATCACAGTGTCATCAGTGTATAAATGCATACTGCATCAGAAACACAATGACCAACATCATTAACATAGACTGAAAATGGTATAGGACCCAGAAAAGAGCCTTGTGGGACACCTTTCATGATCTGCAAGTAATCTGCTGACAGATCATTGCGTTGCACACATTGATAGCGACCAGTCGATTCAAAAACCTGCTGTGAAGGACCAGTGTGTAAAAGCTTCTGACAGGATGAATGATGTACAGAGTCCTGGACTTAAAGCGATCAGCAGAGTCTTGGTCCTCCAGAACGTCTGCACTTTCATCCAGAGACGGCTGCTAACGGGCTGGCCTGGTTTCTAAAGACACACTGATGACTGGAGAAAAGCTTTGATAAAACCAGGTGGTCTTCAAGGTGTCGTTAATCTTTCCAGGACCTTAGCTAAAATGCAAAGTTTAGAAAAGACCTGATAATTATTTAAACTGCAGTAAACAACAATATATTTTTATTCAACCTTTATTTATACAGTCTGGTCTCACTGAACCCCGAGGACTCATTTACAAGAGAGAACTGTTCCAGACAGAACATATACAGTACAGACAACAGTACCAGTAAACAATAACAACAATATCTGTAAACAATGACAACAATGACTGTAAACAATGACAACAGTGACTGTAAACAATGACAACAATAACCG